GAAGATGAAATCCAAATCCAATGCTAAAAACCATATAACAAAAATCACGAATAACAAGTTCTTAAACTTAAAGAATAATATACAACAAAATAACATAATAGATGCATATGTATAAGAACTTACAACCCTGAAATTGTAACAACTAATAAGAGCTTCTTTGTATTTCTTAACTATCTTCATGTATTTATAATCCTTATCTTTATAAAGGTTATCCAAGTTAATATGATTCAAGATAAGTCATATGTCTTGAACAATGTTCATTTGAAACGCCTAACTCTTCAACTTCCTACTAATTAACCATAACATTATTATATTTTAATACTAAAACTGTTCAACTTTCAACTAATTAACCACTACAACTCAAAGTTTTTTTTAACTTATGGTATATAATTAGTACTTAGTTCTACTCTATTTTCATAACACCGAATTTTATTTTGTCCATTTTTATCATCCCTAAATATAAGTTAGCTTTATTTTACATCATGAATGATATATGTATATTTAATTTAGTAAAACAATACATTATATGTTTGGTTTCATTAATTATCATTGATTTTTTTAGAACTACAATAATTGAAATCAGTAATTGTCAATTACTCGAGAGTTTGTAGTTTATATGCAACTATGTTAGGTATGAGATTTGAAAGTCCAAAACAATTAAAACATATGTTATCTAATTATGATGTTTCTAATGGCTATCAGTTGCGCTACAAGAAAATTAATATTAGGAGACTTTTAGTCAAATGATGTTCTGGGTAGTGTAAGTTTAGACTTTGGGCCTCATGGATGAGTGAAGAACATTCTTTCCAGATTAAGTCACTCATAGATGAGCATAATTGTGTAAGAAATTTCAAATTGGGATCAATTGTTATCTATGCTTGGATTTGGCATCCATTTTACAACTGAGTTCTTACATAAGCAAAAAATGAGTGTTAGGCTGCTTAGGGAAGAGGTCAAATAGAATTTTGGAATAAATGTGAGTATGGTCAGTGTAGGAGAGCAAAGAAACATGACATTCAGCTAACTTGTTGAGCACTATGCAAAGCTTTAGTTTTATGGTGAGGAGATAAGAAGATAAAACCGTAGATTAACTGTGAAGATGGATGTCAATAGTATGCCTAATGGGAAGACTTATTTTAGTAAGTTTTACGTATGTTTTGAGGGACTAAAGCAAGGATGGAGAGGTAGTTGCAGAAGAGTAATAAATTTGGATGGGTGTTTCTTGAAGGGCTTATGTATTGTAGAGTTAATATATGTAGTTGTAAGGGATGCTAATAATCATATTTTTCCAATTTCATGGGCAGTTGTTTATGTGGAAAACAAGGAGAATTGGAAATGGTTTTTGGAGAATTTAAAGGATGATCTATAAATGGTTTTGGTTTTACTTTGATGTCAGATCAACATAAGGTATGTAAACTAGTATATCCTTTCATTTTAACTTAAATATAGTTATTTTCTTTTAATAATTTCCCTTTATTATGTAGGGGCTGTTGGAGGTTGTGAAAAAGATTTTGCCTACTGCTGAACACGGGCAGCGTGCAAGGTATATTCTATCCAACTTTAGGAAAAGATTCACATGAGTACATTATGAGATGATGTTTTGGAAGGCATGTAAAGCATCCAATGGGCATTTATTTAGTGCAACAATGAAGGAAATCAAACTTCTTAACCCTACTTCCTTTGAATATCTTATGGAGAAGAACCCAAAATCATGGTGCATAGCTTTCTTTCAGGAGGGAAAGATATGTGATGCAGTAGAAAATGGATTATCAGAAAGCTTTAACAATATCATAAGAGATGCAAGGAAAAAACCAATCATCACAATGTTAGAAGAAATTACATTGTATGTTATGGAAAGGCAGTTTAATTTGAGCATCAAAGGTAGTTCATGGCCTGAGTTTAAAATATGTCCAACAATTATAACCTTACTAATCGGTTACGAAAAGCTCAAAGGTAAAAATGTTTTTGGTTGTTTAATTTGATTACTATTAACATATACTAACTTCATACCAATGTTTTTAGATATTTGCAGGTTCTACCAACTGGTTTAAACCAGTTTGATACAAGAAACTTGACAGAGTCTTATGTGGTGGATTTAGACAAGAAGACATATTCGTGTAGAGTGTGGCAAATGAATGGCTATGGGTGTCTGCATTCAGTTGCAACTATTTCCTTTCTTAATAGGGATGTTGGAAGTTATGTGGATCTAATGTACTATGGAGTATTTTACAAGAACACTTACAAGTTTCCAATGTATGGGATGAATGGAAACAATATGTTGCCATATACCGACTTTACTCCACTACTACCACCTTTGAGGATAAAAATGTCAGACAGACCAAAAGTGAATAAAAGAAAGGACGCAAGTGAAAAGACTACAAGGCACATGGTGTCAAATGTTGGGAAGAGAATTTTATGCAGTGTGTGTAAACAAGTTGGACATAACAAGGTTACATGTCCTCAAGTTGAAAAGCCCAAAAAACTTAAGGTAGAGAGGAGAAAGAAAGCAATTAGTGAAGATGGTAATGGAAGGAGAGGAGGTAGTGGAACAAAAGCAAATGAAGGCGGTAATGGAGGGGAAGGAGGTAGTGGAATAAAACCAAAAGGAAAAGATAATACAAGGAAAATGAAACATTCTTAAAGGATTATAAAAAAAAATTGGCTAAAAGGGTTGAAGGGAAAAATGGAGAAGTCAATACAGGTGCTAATCCACTGGAGATTGAATAAGGAAAAAATGTTATTTGCTATATAAGTTGTTGGATTTACATATGGTTGTTTGTTGCATGTTATGTACTACATTTGGTTATTAGACTTATATGTGTGTTGTTATTTGAAGTTGAATGTTTGCAAACTATGATTTTATGTAATGTAATGGACGTGTATTGTTATATTAAGCATCTTTGTATTATTGTATATGTATGTGGTCCCTTTTGTGGTCCAATTATAATATGTGCATGCAAATTAGTGATAATGTGGGTGTGTAGTGGATTGCAATCTTACAAACTTAACCATACATTGTTTTTCTGCTTAAAATGACATTTTCATTAATATGGAAGACAATTATAACCACATTGGTTACTTATTACACAACACTAGAAAATACCATTAACAACCCATTACAACTTGTACACTATTATCACAAAGAAAATAGCCCAATTAAGAAACAAACAAGTTTTCATCTTCCTAACATTCGACTGAAACTTCTTATTCGAGCTAAGCAAAGTTGCAATCATGATTGCCTCACAACTTGTGTTCATAGTCTCAACTTCGTCTGCCCAACAAATAAACCCATTTCGGGGGCCCTGAATTTAAAGATTTGTGAGTAAGAAACGAGTTGTGCAAAAAATCCTTTTCAAATCTAGGGCTACAATAGAAGGAAAGTTGCAATCAAATTTTACCTTTTTGGGGCAAGCATAAAAGAGTCGTCATGGGTTGGTCTGAGTCGTTGAGGTTCATATTATAGCATTAAATCCACATGAACATTCCACCGATTTCATCGATCCCTTCATCTTCATACCGTAAATTCCAACGAAAGAAGGACAAGCAAGCAAAACAAGGTAAAAAAAATGGTCACGAATTTGTCTCAGTTGTATATACTCGAGGCTAACAAGTGAAAGGACGAAAATACCCCCAACTTCGTCACTAACTAACGGGAATATACTAGGGTTAGTGTTATTAAAAATGTTTATTTAAATTTTAAACTAATATTTAGCTTAGCAATTACATTGTTAAACATTAAAGAGATCCTAATTAACAAAGGTCATCATTTCCATTACATTAAACACGGTTACATAGTCATTTATACAAAATTTCATGTCCTTACACAGGTCTTCAACATCCACTTCACAACACTTAGACCAAAAGACGATAATAGGTAGTAGACAACAAACCACATAAATACTAATAGTCAACACAACAAACGACGTTAACCCTAACAACTACATTAACCCTAACACAAACACACAGATAACCTAACACACCACATCGATAACAAACACAACTGGATTCACTACTAGATTAAAGAGTGCAGTTTGTCCACGAGAAAACCAAACATCACCACCACGAGTCCCGCCACCAAAACAGTCAGAGCATGCACCTTCTTCTCATTACAGTCTAATCGGCGCTGCACAACGAGTATATCGACCCTTGATATCATAAAATCACGCCTCATTTCCTCCTTAATTCGATCCACATCCACGTGTTGTTCAACTATTTTCTCCCCACAATCGCAGAATATTGTGTGTAAGTCACTGAAATTGATCCTGTCTCGAGAATTTATCGAAATCGGATTTGGTGAGGGCGGTGGGGTAAACATCTCATGAATATCGTGAAAACGATTGTTGTCTCCTTGTCGGTAAATGTTTGGCCGAAAAAATGCATAAAGTTTTAGGGTTGATTTATTAAACCATCATTTTTATAAACATTGGGTCCATAGTAACCCTTAGGGCCCAAGCAAATGATTCAACTCGACTGCAAATGATTCAACTCGACTCGGTGACATGCATGACGAGTTGACTCAGAGTTAACTCATTAGATGACTTGGAGTATGACTTGACTTCGAAACCTCTTGAAATAAGTCAATTGACTATTTTAGCCGGTAAAACTATACTTTGTACCCCTTAAATGCAAAAAAATATAAATAAAAAAATGAAAGGAAACATTTAAACCAAAAAGTAAAACTTCATCGGTCTACATGATGTTACATTAAACAAAACAATATAAATACATTGCTAGTTTTTATATTTAACCCAGATAATCTATTTGCGTGTAACTGAAGATATAAAAATATAATAAAGTTTTTATGTGATTATATGTAGATTTAAACTTTTGTAAACCTTCAATTCTAATGAAGGAATAATTCCCACTTTTCCCAGGTGTTGGTAGGTCGAAATGAACATATAGGGACAGGGTAGTTTGCAAGACATGCTATCTAACCCTTCTACTTCAAGTGCTTTCTTTAAAAACCCTTCTTTCCTTTCTTCATGTTCATTCAAACCCTCTGTTTGATAGAAAAGCATGACTTTTAGATACACAGATGTTTTCTCTCTTCTAGTTGCCATTTTAGCAAGTACACATTTCCTATCATCAAACCTAGAATTTGTCAAGTTCTACATTGAGGAATTTAAGGTTATCTCGAATTTGCCAGTGTCAATCATTGCAAACCAATATAACACTCGGTTAGATGGTCATCACCACCACCATCATGAAAAAAAGGCCAAAGTGGTCGACATATGTGATGATTTCCCTCGTGATTCAGTACCTCAAGATACCAACACCACAACGACATTTTGTGTTGATCGTAATGGATGCTGTAATTTTACAACTATACAGTCTGCCATTGATGCAACTATAACTGCTAACCCTAAGAGAACTCTAATATGGATCAATAACGGCATTTACTTGTAAGTCGCTATAATCTATTTGTTCAATAGTCTTCTCCTCTCTGTTTTTTTTTTTCAACAAATATCAATATGAAATATGTAAAGATGCAAACTACTAACCTTGATGACGATATATATTAATATATTCACTTAATTAATATGTCGAATTTAAGTGAAAAGGTAATAATCCCCAAGACAAAACCAAATATAACATTTCAAGGGCAAGGATATACTTCAACCGCTATTGTTTGGAATGACACTGCAAATTCGTCGCATGGCACGTTCTACAGTGCCTCCGTGCAAGTGTTTGCTGCAAATTTCGTAGCTAAGAACATTAGCTTCATGGTAAGCATGCATGGCCAGCTGTAACAAGCATAGATCTTTAAATCAACATAATGAAATTAGATTTTCGATAAAAAGTTTACTTTATGAAATGTTATCAATACTAGAATGTGGCTCCGATACCTAAGCCGGGAGATGTTGGAGCACAAGCTGTGGCGATTAGAGTAAATGGAGATCAAGCTTCTTTTTGGGGGTGTGGATTTTTTGGAGCTCAGGATACTCTTCATGATGATAGAGGTCGACATTACTTCAAAGAATGTTATATTCAAGGTTCAATTGACTTCATTTTCGGCAATGCAAAATCACTCTATGAGGTACGTTGAAAAAAAAAATTATATAGAATCGTATGAGATGTTAACATATTAGACATTATTCAATTAATATATTTTCCAAAATAGAAAAGAAATCGCTGCTTGTTATAAGCAAGGTGCATGCAAACGAACAAGAAGTTACTGATCATTTATTTCTTATATTAGAATGCTTACGAATTTTGTATTTATTTTTACTTCAACTATAATGAATATATGTTAGGGAATTGTTGATACTTTTAATGAGTACACATTTTAGAATTAGCAAACAATTATTATCTTGAAAATACATACTCGTATACATTATAAGTGTAATATATCTATCATTTATATTTTGGCAATATATTTTAACATGTATACATATATTTAAGATATTTTATATATCCTTTTCATATAAGAATGACTTTTAAAGTTATAATAATAAATTGGTTAACAAATATTTATATTTCTAATATTGTGTTAATATACACGTAATGCTAAATTATCGCGTAACAGAAAAAATATTTTGTATAAATGATTAGTTATGTATAAGTTGAATGTATTTTAGTCATCATCTAAAGTTAATGTTACTACATGAAGTGTTTAAAGTATTAAGATATAAAATATAACTTTCTAAAATGGTAGGTCAATTGCGGTCGGACCCATATTAATTAACCCATGATATTAAACTTTATCAATATCTTATATATTAATTATATATTAGTTCATTTTTCTGCCTTCCACGCACATCACATCAGAATAACCACATGCAATTGTATATGATATCAACCCCATTAGGGTCATTAATTTGTGTAATTTGTGAAATGTTCTATAGGATTGTCAATTGATATCCATGGCACCACCAGTAGCAGTGGGACAAAAGAATATAAACGGAGCAGTTACAGCACATGGAAGAGCTTCCGCAGACGAGGACAGTGGATTTGCGTTTGTGAGATGCAACCTCGGTGGTACAGGAAGGATATGGTTAGGTCGAGCTTGGAGACCCTTCTCTAAAGTTATCTTTGCTTACACATTTATGTCGGACATAGTTGCCCCTGAGGGGTGGAATGACTTTAATGACCCCTCTAGAGACCAGTAAGCACTACTTTTATTTTATACTATGAGTTATAACCTTAAATTTTACTTTAACTAATTATATATAGTTAAATAAAATCATTGAATGATATGACATGATTAACTCATATTCAATGAATTAAAAAAAAACTTTTTATACATAAATGATTATAAATGATCTTTTAAAAAAAATATATGTTTCATTAAACTTTTATAGAATTCAATATTATAAAAAAATGATTAAATTGTATGAAAAATGGAATAATAACATGACAATCTATTAAAATTTTATAAAGTTTAATGTATTTGTGAATTTTTTTAATGAATAAATGTTTTTGATCGTAGGAGTATATTCTATGGAGAGTATATGTGCATGGGTGGAGGAGCAAATACCTCAACGAGAGTTCCATATGCACAAAAGCTAAATGACACTCAAGCCTCACTCTTTCTTAATGCCTCTTTTATTAATGGTGACCAATGGTTGGAGTTACAATTGTAATTAAGGATATTCCTCTATATAATTAATTTATTGAGAAAATAAATTCTTATTCTTTTGTGCTCAATCGAAAAAAAAATGTATCATTTTATGTATGTATATTTGTTTGGACACATTTTTAAAACATGCTTTATATTTTCACCCTTGTTTACATTAAATTAGCAACTTTGATTGGTGTACATACATAAGGATTTTTTTTTATCATATTTTGTCTTTGTTAGGATGCATTTTTTTACATTTGACTTGTAGTTTGATTAAATTATGTGTGTCAAGTCAAATATTGTTTTTGTTTACGAAGACAACAATTTCTATCGGATTCCTTTAGAAAACAATAAATAAGGAACACCATCAAAAACAGCGACAACCAACCATCCTCGAATATTCATTGGGCAACTCGAACGAAGTTAGTTAGTTAACTTTTTGGTTTAATGTACAAAATTTAAGATACTTTATTGAACAAATAAAATGATAAAAAAAATTGACGTGTTTGGTAAAAATAATTATTAGCTGGAAGCGGATAGTTGGAAGCGGATAGCTGGTAGGTGGAAGCTATAACTTTTATTTGTTATAGACAAAACTTCAAAAATGGTCCCTGTGGTTTTCGAAAATCTGAAGTTTAATCCCTGATTTATAAAAACCTCACAGATGGTCACTGTGGTTTCAAAACTTTTAACAAATGGTCATTTTGCTAACTCCGTTAGCTTTTGTCCGTTAACTCAAGGACATTTTTGTCATTTCATATCACAAGGACCATTTATGAAGTTTTATCGTATTTATTTATTTTTTTAAAAAAAAAAATGCAAGGTCTCTCTCACACACACACACAAATAATTAGAGAATTTCTTGAAAATTTCCGTTGTGATAACTTTGGTTGGAAGTTTGTTCATCACATTACATTAGAAAAACCCACTACACACTTTTTTGCACTTTTTTTGCTCTGTTCTATGTAGCTAAACACCATAAAAAAATCTCTCTATCTCTCTCTAACCTTGTCTTCTTCCCACCATTACCTTCAAGAAACCTGCAATTCAAGGAAGAAGAGGGTTTTTTTTACCTTTTATGGTTGAAGAAAAAGAGAGCATAAGAAATGACTACTCAAACACACAGGTATTGATGCAATCAAGCGAACAACTTCAGACATTGATGCAGACTGCTGGTCTAATTGAAATAAATTTCCAGAAATACATTACATGGAAGAAATCAAAGCTTTACCCACTACCCTCATCACAAATCCCCCAACTTTGTTAATCTGCCCTAATTCATATCGATGCCCATCATTCTAGCAAATACATTGTCATTCATATTGGATAGATAAAAAAACCGATCAATAAGATAATATATCCATTTTAAAGATTAGAGAACCCCTAGAATCACACTCTTCTTGGAGCTCGCAGATTGCATTGACAATGCCATCTTCTTCGCACAGACTTCTCAACATCCCTTCATTCTCTTCGATTGCTAGCACGATGTCTTTAAATAATTGGTTAAATAGGCAACGAAATTTACCTGGCTCTGATTCTGGTCCATGAGTTCCACTAACTGCTCAAATTCAAATTTAGATCTCAAGGATATCACCTTCTTTCTTTAAGTAACTGACGTGCACCTGCAATCCTTCTTCCTCTAGAGAGAGAGAGAGAGAGAGAGAGAGAGGAGAGAGAAGGGGGGGGGGGAATAAAGTCTGATGAAACAAAGGACGATTTGGTGGTCTCTCTGGTCGACGACTGCTGATAGTCTTCGCCTGACAATTGATTCAAGTTGCTTCTTGGAAGCAATGAGCTGCTCCCTCTTATCTGAACTGGAATCCTTCTATTTTGCGTCAATTTGAAGAAATGTTTGGAGGTAATTAGCGGCGGAATCGAATTCTTCGTTCTCTAGTGCCTTTTGAACGCCGTCAATGCAATTGGACTTCTCTACAATGGCGTTGATGCGGAGGAGGGTTTCATTGACACGAGATTGAGCAAGGTCGATCGATCGAGAGAGAGAGAGAGAGAGAGAGAGAGAGAGAGGATTTAAGGAAACAATTAGGGATAATAGAGCATTCGGTATACATGGTTTGTGATCCCAGAGGTTGGGAAGGATTTGATCCAACAAGAAAGAAATGGATGAAGCTCACCAAAATCCCTTTTGACGAATGTTTCAATCACACAGATAAAGAATCATTAGCTGTAGGTAGTGAATTACTAGTTTTTGTGAAGGAATCAATTGTGTGTTTAGACTTGAGAGAGAGAGACCTTGCATTTTTTCTTTTTTAAAATAAATAAATAAATAAGATAAAACTTCATAAATGGTCCATGTGATATGAAATGACAGAAATGCCCTTGAATTAACGGACAAAAGCTAACAGAGTTAGCAAAAAGGACCATTTGTTAAAAGTTTTGAAACCACAGGGACCATCTGTGAGGTTTTTATAAATTAGGGACTAAACTTCAGATTTTCGGAAACCACAGGGACCATTTTTGAAGTTTTGTCTTTGTTATATGAGTATTTGGTAAAAGTAGCTGGAAACTTTTAAAATATGTAAAATTATATAAAAGGATAACTGTTTAAAAAAAATAAATATATACATATATTTTTAAAGGCAATTCTGAAAATTGATTTCAAAAGCTCAGTAGCGTTTGTTAAATGCTACATGAAGTAGCTTTTAGATTTGAAGCGATTTGTTTAAACTAAAACTTAAACGTTTGTATTTTTCAAACAAAGTTTTTTGTTTAAACTTGAGCATTTTATCAAAATTTAAAAGCTAGAAGCTCCCAAACGTTTTTTTGTTTAAACTTGAGCGTTTTGTCAAAAGTTAAAATAGAAGCTCTCAAATGCTCCGTTCCAAACACGCCTAATTACATAAATAAGATGTCTCGATTATAAAAATACATACTTGGGTTGTATAAAAAATGACTTTCATGTCCATGTCCTGATCAACAAATCAAAAGTTATGTTGCTATTTAGTGACTTTAACCATGTGGTCAAATATAATGTTCTGTATTTGAAAAGTTATAAAGAGAATGAACATTTTTGTAACATTCGGAAATTTAGATTATTTTGTGACTTTAACCATTTGGTAAAATATTATGTTATGTATTTGAAAAGTAATAAAGAGAATGAAAAATTGCCAAATATTAACATTTTGTAACATACGGAAAATTTAGATGTTAATTAAGGAAAATGAAGGGAATGAATTGAAAATGTGTAATATTATAATGGTAAAATGAATCAAAACGATATCACATTCATTTCACATTCCTAGTAATGATGGTAGTGATAGTTGTGATCATTCCAAGTGATTAGTTGAGTGTATGTAGTTATGTAGTTGCAAAAGTCATTAGATGAAAGTAGGGAAATTTTGGTTATTTGTATGTGTAGCATGAGGTTTCTAAAGAATTAGACTCATAAAATAGTTTATATATGTCATAGTACATTTTGTGACAAGATATAATGTTGGTTAAAGTGAATTTAGTTATGGAACTTAGCATTTGACAAAAAAAATGGCATGGGAATCATTTTTACTACTTTATGGATTATTAGATTAAGTTCTTTGTTCTTTAAGCACTTAGTCAAAAGTAACTTGATAAGGTTGTAAGACTATTTTGCACCTTTAATTGGATATAAAACTTGAGAAAATTGGTGTTTGTGATGAAGATATCTTGTTGTAAAGACAGAGAAAATATTGGACAAAGTTGAGAACTGATAGCAGAAAAGAAATTTGTTGAACCACAAATTACTTGTCGCGTCGAACAATTTGACGTAAGGCGAAATTGCACATTGCTATTTCAATAAGGGAAACGTACAATGTTGATATGTGACACGAACACATGATAAAGGGCGAAGTGCGAAAGTTTATTTTCGATGACACATCATCATTTAGAGTGGACGCATCGCGCCCACATCTTTTTCGAACACATAGCCTGATAAAGAAGGTTTAAGGCAGTCATTTGATTCATTCTCACTACATTCCTCAGCTGAGAGGCAAAGAGGGACGGTTTTTTAGATAAAACCGTAAATGAAAGCTCCCATCGTGAGGATTTGAAGGAAAAGCAAGTAATCAAAACTCTGCTAAGTTATCAAGGAGATGAAGGTACTTTGGTCATGAAACACTAATTAAAGGGAAAACGTTATAGTTAGTGTAACACCCTCTTTCCAAGATTGATTGATCTGGGGTGTTAAGGATTCAAAAGTTTGATGATTGGATGTGAATGAGGGTGTTGGATGCGAAAGGAGGTACCCCAGATGTGATTGGATGCAAATGAGAGTATTGGATGCGAAATGAAGTACCCCAGATGCTATTGGATGCGAATGAGAGTGTTGGATGCAAAAATAAGAGTGTTGGATGCGAAGGAAGGTACCCCAGATGTGATTGCATGCGAATGAGAGTGTTAGATGCGAAATGAAGTACCCCATATGCGATTGGATGCGAATGAGAGTGTTTGGGACACGAGTATTTAATGATCTACGTTGGGCGTACCTGGAGTATGCAGGGCGTAGAGCCGCAACATTCAAACCCTAATTTTTAGGGTTTAGATCCTATTTAAAGGACCTTAAGTCCTTGAGGTCTTCCTTATCTTCAGCCTCCACGTCCCAAAGTAGTCATTTCAAAACCCTAGCCCTGTTTGTGAGAGTTTCAGGCCTTAATATGGTTCTTGTGTGTTCTTGAGGAGAAAGAGTCCATTAGAGAGCATTTGAGGAGCTTCAAGCTTTGTGGATCTAGAACTTTCATCTCTCTAGCAACCTACATAAGGTATAAATTTTTGAACTTGATGGATACTTCATTAGATCTTGCTAGTTCTTGAGTTTTTGTGCCTTTTGGTCCCATAATCTTGGTATATATGAGTTTGGCTTACTCTAGACCAAATGAGCTATCCTTTCAAATGTTTTTGAGTGTTTGTAGTCATAAAAATTTGATCTTGGTCCCTTTCTCCCATCCATGCAAGAGTTATGAAGCTTGGGTTTTGGGTAGTAAGTTAGGGTTTGGATTTTGAGCACTTCCTAGCCACGCAAAGTCATAAATTTGGAAACTTTATGATTAAGGAGGTTATTTGAGGATTGGATCTGAGTTTTGGACGTAATGACTTAAGGTAATAAGCACTTAATGGGAAAATGGGAGTTGACCAA